TATGCTAAGTGAAATTAGTCAGTGAAAGACAAATATCATATGACTTCACTCATGAAGACTTTAAGATACGAAACAGATGAACACAAGGGAAGGGAAGCAAAAATAATATAAAAACAGGGAGGGGGGGGACGAAACATAAGAGACTCTTAAATATGAAGAACAAACAGAGGGTTACTGAAGGAGTTGGGGGAGGAGGGATAGGCTAAATGAGTAAGGGGCATTAAGTAATCTACTCCTGAAATCACTGTTGCACTATATGCTAACTGGAATGTAAATTTAAAAAAATAAATGAATAAAAAATAAAAGCACACACAAAAGAAGGAATTCGTAATTTTCTTCTTTATACATATGCATTTGTGTTGGGCCAGACGTTAATGCCATGCAAAAGATTGAAGTATGGCACTTTAAAAATAGTCTACCAAAGTATTCAATTCTTAATTATGTACTACATATAGTAACCTTGAGGTGTAGAGAAAACAATCTGCTAGATTTCTTCTAGAGTACAGAAAGAAAATATTAGAACTCTTATTTACATATTTATTTCTTAAACTAAAACCATAAAAAATTAAGACTTATATACTAGCCATAGTAATTAGGCAAGAAAAATAAAAACAAACCAATTGGAAAGGAAGAAGTAACACTGTCACTATTTACAAATGACATTATATTATACATAGAAAACCTTAACTACTCCATCAAAAAACTGTTGGAACTAATAAAAAGTGTAGTGAACTTTCAGGGTAAAAAAAACAGTAAACAAAAGCCTATTGTGTTTTTATACATAAATAACAAACTATGAGAAAGAGACATCAAGAAAACCAATCCCATTTAAGTAAAATACTTAGGCATAAATTTAATCAAGAAAGTGAAAGACCTGTACACTTAAAACTACAAGGAGTTGATGAAAAAAATAAAGACAAATAAATGGAAATATACTGTATTTATGGATTGGAAGAATAGGTACTACTAAAATCTACAATTTAATGTAATCCCTATAGAAAGAAATTCTAATAATATTTTTCACAGAACTAGAATAATTCCGAAAGGGAATCAAAGAAGACCCTGAAGAGCCAAAACAATCTTGAGAAAGAAGAACAAAGCTGCAGGTGCATGCTGCTCAATTTTAAACTATACCACAGGGGCACCTGGGTGGCTCAATTGATTAAGCATCTGACTCTTGATTTCAGCTCAGGTCATGATCTCGTGGTTGTGAGATGAAGCCCCATGCTGGGCTCCACACTGAGCATGGTGCCTGCTTAGGATTGATTCATTCTCTCTCTCTCTCTCTCTCTCTCTCTCTCTCTCTCTGTCTTTTCCCTGCCCCTTGACCCTCCCCCACTCATGGACATGCACTCTCAATAAATAAATATACTACAAATCTGTAGTAATCAAAACAGAACGGTGTTAGCACAAGAACAAACATATAAATCAATGGAACAAAATAAAGAGCCCAGAACTACACACATATATTTAGGGTCAATTAATTTATGACAAAGGAGCTAAGAATATACAATGGGAAAGGATCATCTCCTTAATAAATGATGCCGGGAAAACTGGACAGCTGTATTCAAAAGAATGAAACTGAACCATATGCAAAAATTAACTTTTTAAAAGGGGTGCCTGAGTGGCTCAGTCGGTTAAGCATCCGACTTCGGCTCAGGTCATGATCTCCCAGTTCGTGGGTTTGAGTCCCACATCGGGCCCTGTGCTGACAGCTAGCTCAGAGCCTGAAGCCTGTTTCAGATTCTGTATCTCCCTCTCTCTCTGACCCTCCCCTGCTCATGCTGTCTCTCTCTCTCAGAAATAAATAAAAATAAATTTAAAAAATTTTTTTAAATTAAAAAAAATTAAGAGTGTTTAAAGACTTGAATATAAGACCCGAAACAATAAAATTCCTAGAAGAAAACGTATGGTAATAAGCTCTTTAACATAAGTCTTCAAGATATTTTTTTGGATCTGACTCCAAAGGCAAGAAAAACAAAAGTAAACAAATGAGACTGCATCAAACTAAAAAGCTTCTACACAGCAAAGGCAATCAATAAAACCAGGATAAATTCAATAAAACTGAATAGGAAAAGATAATTGCAAATCATATACCCAGTAAGGGGTTAATATCCAAAATAAGTGGAACTTAACAATTCATGTAACTCAATAACAAAAAAAGCCCAAACAATCCAATTAGAGGATCGAACAGATATTTTCCCAAAGATACACAGATAGCCAACAGGCACGTGAAAAGAAACACCACTAATAAATAGGGAAATGCAACTCTAAACCACAATGAGATATTACCTCACACCTGTCAGAATGGTTACTATCAAAATGACAAGAAATGATATATATTAGAATATGGAGAAAAGGAAACCTTATGCACTGTTTAGAAATGCAAACTGGAGCAGCCACTATAAAAAACAGTACAGATGTTCCTTAAAAATTTAAATTAGAACTGTGACATAATTTAGCAGTTCCATTACTGGGCATCTATCCAAAGATAATGGAAACACTAATTCAAAAAGGTAGCTGTTCACTGCAGTATTATTTACAACAATAGCCAAGATATGGAAGCAAGCTAAATGTCCACTGACAGATAAATGGATAAAGATGTGGTGTGTGTATAAACATACACATACGCACACACCCATGCAAACACACTCTGGAATATTAACCACAAAAAAGAATGAAATCTTGCCATTTGCAGCTAACATGGATGGACCTAGAAAATATTATGCTAAGTGAAATTAAGTCAGAGAAAGATAAATAACACAATTTACTTATATGTGGAATGTAAAAACCAAAACAAAACCAAGATGCAATGATAGAGAAAACAAACTGGTGTCTGCCAGCAGAGAGGGGAGTTGGGGGCGTGCAGTGGTTGAAGGGGGATCAAGAAGTACAAACTTCTTGTTATAAAATAAATAAGTCATAGGTATGTAATATATAGCATGGGGAATACAGTCCATAATACTGTATTAATTTTGTATGGTGACAGATCACTATCAGTGGATTGTGGTGATCATTTTGCAATGTATACATGTGTTGATTCAGTATGTTGTTTACTTGATACAAATATAATACTGTATGTCAACTATACCTCAAATTAAAAAAACTTTCCATTATTTGGTAGCCATCATTCTGTATGTTTTAAGTTATACATGACACAGGAAGTAACTGTAAGTACTTTCATACCATTACCAAATCTCAAAGTTTTAATTGATTCAAATTTTTCTGCCTTGTATCAAATGGCTATAAATTTCCATGTTTATCTTGCTCATTTTCAGGTGAAGAATCTGGTAAGAGGCAAAATGGCTAAATGAGAGTAACAAAAAGAATTAACAGCCCATATATATAACATTATGTTATATACCCTGTCCATGAATTGTTGCAAGAATTGTTAAGAAGTCAGTTTTCCCTAAATTAAGCTATAGATTCAAAGGTATCTTTGTCAAAATTCTAATTTGATCTTTTATACAAGATGACAAATTGATTGTAAAAATTTGTATGGATATGAGGACAATCCTAGGATAGTCCAAGCAATGTTTTAAAAGACTGAAGTTGGAGGACTTACACTACCTGACATCATATAGCTACAGCAATTAAGACAGTGTAATTATTAGCTACATGATAACACGTATTTATGAAGAGGACCCAGAAGCAGACCCACATATAAGTAGTCAATTATTCTGGACAAAGGCAATTCAAGAGGAAAAGAAAATCTTTCCAATAAACAGTGCTGAGTGAGAGATTCATACATTAAAAAAAAAAACACAAACATTAGTCCTTACCTAACACAATATATAAAAATTAACTCTAAATGGATCATACACTTATAAGAAAATAAAGTAAACAAAGATTTCTTACATAGAACACACACATCCCACAAGAAACTGTCCTTTATTAAAAAATAAAAACCCGCTCTTCGAAGATACTGTTAAGGAAAAAAAGGCAAGCTGTATATTGGGACAGAATATTCACATATATATTTGACAAAGGACTTGCATCCAAAATATATACAACTCAATAATAAGCAGACCAGTGGGCTAAAGATTTGGATGAGCATTTCACCAAAGAATATATAATGGCCAAGAAGCACAGAAATGCTCAACATTATTGGTCAGTGAAATGCAAGTTAAAACTGTGAGACAGCATTATATACCCATAGAGTAGCTAACATTAATAAGACTGGTAATATCCAGTGCTGGCGAAGATGTGAGGAAGGAACTGGAACTCTCAGAGAGAATGGGAAACATTTTTGAAAACCATTTGGCAGTTTCTTATAAAGTTCAACACACAACCCAACCATTCCACTTCAAGTTACTAACTGAAGAAAATTAAAAGTACATATATAACAGTTTTATTCACAGAAGCCAAAACCCAAATTGATAAAGTGTGGTATTTTCAGGTCAGTGGAATAGGACTCACACTTTGGAGCATAACTCATGAGTAAAAAGGAACAACTGATACCTACGATAACATGAATGTATCTCAAAATCATTACACTAAGGGGAAGAAGCCAACTAGAAAAGCATATATATACTATATAATTCCATTCATAAAATTCCAGAAAATGACCACAAATCTGTAGTGACAGAGCAAATAAATGGCTATCTGACTGAAGTTTGAGAGCTAATGCAAATATTCTCTATCTGGACTGTGGTATCATCAAATTGTATACTTTAAGTGGGTACAGTTTATTGTACACCAATTGTACCAAAATTAGGTTAATTAAAAAATAAAGAGTGAAAAGAGGAGAACCAAGAAAAAATGAAAATGAAAAATGGAGAAGGAGAAGACCAGGTCTGTGTATCTGGCAGCACTACACTTACTGTATGTCAGGGTCTGAGTAGACAGGATGACGAAATTCAAAGTACTGCATAACTTGTGATGTACAGACTGCTTAAATGACTGGATCAGAGTTTTATACGTGGCAGTCTGTACCTTCAGGAGCTCACAATATCCGTTAGATTCAATCCAGTATTACAAATTCAGCTTTTTGTTTTCAGGGGGGCTGGAACTAGGAAGGAGGCACAAGCATGCAGCCCAGGTACCTGGATTCTGACCTCGGCTCCATTACTTATTAGCTGTGACTCTGGACAAGCTACTCAGCCTGCCAGCATCTGAGTTTTCTCGTCTGTGAAATAATAGTACTTCAGGAGGTGGCTGTGAAAATTAAATGATTGATTATGGGTAAAGTTCCTTGAACAGGCCTGGCATATAACAAGTACTTCGTAAGTATTAGGTATTAATGTTTTCCTCCCATTTAAAAACTATACTATTATAGTAGAAATTTGGAAATTATAAAAGTATAGATAATTAAGTCACTTAAAACCTATTCTTGAAGAATAGACTATGACTATGTAAATAAGTGATTTTAATAGATGTATAAAATTCCACTGTGTAAATGCAGTATAATTTAATGATTCTTTTACTACTGAACCTAACATAAATAATGATTTTACAAAGATCTGTGTACATATTTTTCCACATTTTATTTCTTCAAGAATATGCTGGAGTTGGGGCGCCTGGGTGGCTTAGTCAGTTAAGCGTCCGACTGTCGCTTAGGTCATGATCTTGCGGTTCGTGGGTTCGAGCCCCGCGTCGGGCTCTGTGCTGACAGCCACCTCAGAGCCTGGAGACTGTTTCAGTCTGTGACTCCCTCTCTCTCTGACCCTCCCCTGCTCACGCTGTCTCTCGCTCTCTCTCTCTCCTAGAAATAAATAAAAATATTAAAAAAAAAAAAAAAAAAAAAAGAATATGCTGGAGTGGAACTACCAGATCAAAGGTTATAATAATTTTAAGGCAGAATTGGAACAAGATGTGCATATGTGTTATTTTTTTAAAGTTTTGCATACTGGAAAAACAGTATATTTCCTGGTCTTAATTGACACTGATTTATTTACTAGTCATGTACATCAAGGGTTTTTAGACCTTTATATTACCTTTGCTCATTTTTCTATCAGGTTTCTTCAAATCAAAGTTAATTTGCATCAAACTGCATGGTAACAATCACTGCAAACCACACTGGACTTTCTTTTTTTTGAAAAATGTATTTTATATATACCGTACCCCATGTTTAATAACTATGTGGTTTTTTGGTTACTTGGTTAGTTGAATTTTACTATTAGGGACACTAGGGTACAGGTCATGTTTCTGTTTTATTCTGTATTAACAGGCTATTTTCTGGGGAATGTTTTTCTGAAATACAAAAACAGAATTACCAGAAAAACTATCCTGAACAGACATGTTACCAGAGAATAGGTGAACATAACTGCTCTTTAATTATTACTAAATTTGGGGTAAGCACATTTTAAGTAATAAAATCATGTTAAAAATAAATGCTTGTTCCTTAAATTCTCTATCTACCTAGAGAAAGAGTGAGTACAAGCAGGGGAGAGGCAGAGAGAGCGAGAAAATCCCAAGCAGGCTCCACGTTGTCAACACAGACCCAGACGCAGGGTTCAAACTCAGGAATCGTGAGATCATGACCTGAGCTGAAATCAAGAGTCGGATGCTTAAGCAACTGAACCACCCAGGTGTCCCAAATTCTGTTACTTTCTTAAAAGCTTCCAGGCATATCTCATTTCTTTTTAAAGTTAGAAATATTGCAGGGGTGCCTGGGTGGCTCAGTCAGTTGGGCATCCGACTCCGGCTCGGGTCATAATCTCACGGTTCGTAGGTTCGAGTCCCGTGTCGGGCTCTGTACTGACAGCTAGCCCAGAGACTGGAGCCTGCTCCAGATTCTGTATCTCCCTGTCTCTCTGACCCTCCCCTGCTCACGCTGTCACTGTCTCTCTCTCTCTCTCAGAAATAAATAAAAAACATTAAAAAAAGGTAAAGTTAGATATATTGCAGCATAGTCTTCAGCTAAAGTTACCCAACTAAAAATCAGATTCTCCTCATTCTTGTATATTAAAAGTAATCAACTTATCTTCCAATGCAATTTTTAAAGTTTAATGCATTAGCACTAACTGCTATGATTATGTAGATTAAAAAACTCTTAAGATATTTCAAGTATAACTTTTTTAAATTTTTTTTTAATGTTTTATTTATTTCTAGGAGAAAGAGAGAGAGACAGTGTGAGCAGGGGAGGGTGAGAGAGAGAGGGAGACACAGACTCCGAAACAGGCTCCAGGATCTAAGCTGGCAGTCAGCACAGAGCCCGACGCGGGGCTCGAACCCACGAACCGCGAGATCATGACCTAAGCAAAAGTCGGACGCTTAACCGACTAAGCCACCCAGGCACCCCTCAAGTATCTTTTGAGCCATAGTTCTCTTATTAATAACACTGAATCATCATCTCCTAGAGTACTTTTAAAGAAAACAAGATTTATCATGCAAAGAGACCAAACCACTTATGAGTTACAATTTCAGTTCTCAGTATACCCTCAGCTTTAAATGCCATCACTGCCATGGTGGGAGAAAAGAAAGGCATTAGACAATCCCATGGTTTTTGTTTTTGCTTTTGTTTTTTCCTGAGAGAGAGACAGCGTGAGCAGGGGAGGGTCAGAGAGAGAGGGAGACGCACAATCTGAAACAGGTTGCAGGCTCTGAGCTAGCTGTCAGCACAGAGCCCGACGTGGGGCTCCAACCCACGAACCATGAGATCATGACCTGACCTGAAGTTGGATGCTTAAACCGACTGAGCCTCCCAGGCACCCCTCCCATGCTTCTTAATAATCAGTTGACTACACTACTTCAGTATCAAGTGGGGGCAGGATGGTGATGGTAATCTATCTCTCCACCCATCTGTTCTCAAAGTAAATAACATGCTGGTACAGGGTGAAAAATCTAGAAAAGCACAGAAGAACATACAATGAGTCACACCTGAGAGATAGGACATGCTTCTATCACAATTCACCATAGTCAGGTTTAGTGGAAGAGGGGAAGGCAAACATGTTTAATTTGAAAAGGCATCCCAAATGTTTCTGGCATGTCCCTTCTGCTTGAGAATCACTATACTACATGATTCATCCTTTGAGATTTTTGTTCCTAGGTCATTTCCTGTCCAGCTCACAAACCAGCTATTAATGTTTTTAGAAGAATGAATGCTGTTAAGTATAACTAGCTTTCTGGTCAGTCATAAGCATATAAGAAAATCATAACCATATGTGTCCATGACAGTTGCTTGTGAAGTTAAAAATAATACTCAAAATACATGCTTTGGTCATACCCCCATTCACTCTTAGTGACTCAAGGCTTTAAGCAGTTTATTTTATAAAAGCTCTAGTGGTGGATGTTAACGAGACTTACTGTGGTGATCGTTTTACAATGTATTCAAATAGCAAGTCATTATTTTATATACCTGAAAGTAATGTTATAGGTCAATTATATTTCAAAAAACATTACATCAGGGTAGCCACTGGCTATACATGAAATCTATGAAAAAGTGGTTTTCAGTTCATTATAATAATAAAGGTAAACCTACACCCTCCACATAAGATACTGATTATTTAATTCATACAGGAATTTAGGACTGATTTACTTACGGTGTCTTGTATCAAGAAAGACTAAACTAGTGAATTTTGAAATCTGAATCACATGTAAAAGTGGGCCAGGTGAAGAGCATAACTAATTAAAGTTTATACTTAACTAAAATATACCTGGAGGACTAGGAGATATAAAAACTTTAAAATGGGTCTACTAAAGTACAGTGCTTTCATTTAGACTGAATTTTATAGTCCAATAAGAAATATAAACTAGTATTTATGAGTCACTGCACAAAACAATGATCTAGGACTTCCTTATAATACAGATACACTGTACAGCAATGAAACGTAATGTTCAAAATCAGTATTATCAAGTAGAAGACAAATCTGGTGGAATATAGACTCCATAAATGTTATATACATGTATCAGAAACTGCGGGGGTTGGGAAAGGGGGAGCTGAGGAACAGAGATGGGTTTTCAGGTAAGATAATCAGATTTTTGTATAAAAATAAATTTTCTTGTTACACGTGTATTGAGCTAGTGCATCAATTCTCGATTCTCTTCAAAATCATACCAAAAGAAAGACAGAAAACATGTACTTATAAGGACAAAAAGAATGGGAGAAAACATCACATAAAAAAGTCAGAAAAAGTTTTGGGAGACAGAAGCCAGACTGGGAGAATAGTACATAACATAACAAAGTGGAGAATAATAAAATTAAGGTGTTTGTAAAAGTAGATACCAATGGGAAACACTCTGACTCATTGTGCCAAACATCACGTATGACCAAGCACTGAAAACAGACATGAAAAATGAATCCATACTGGATTAAACCTACTCCTTCGATACATGCCATTTAGGATTCCTTAGAGGAGTAGACAGACCTAGGGAAAAATCTTTTAGATAGTGACACCTGATATCTAAATACCCTACAGAGGGGTGACAAGCTAAATAAACCTATTGGTATTTGTAGTGCCCCATTATTAAGTATATGAATGGACAATTAATGATGGATAGACATTTGATAAAGGAATCTGTGGTAGGTCTACAATTCTAGAGATAACTCCTCAATTCTAAAGATAACTCCTTAAAATTTCTGTCCCTGGTTATATAATCATACACTAAAATAGAGACTGCTGTAAAGAGACTTTGCAAATAGAATTAAGGCTATTAATCAGCTGATTTAAGGGAGATTACCCTGGATTCTTTCTGTGGGTCCAATGTAATCATACAAGGCCTGCCAAACACAAGAGGAAGAAAGGCAGGAGAGTGAAGCACAGGATAGAGGAGACAGAGGTGGGGACCAGATAGATGTGAAGAGTAAAAAGGACTAGACTTGCCATTGCTGGCTTTGAGGATGGAGGAAGGAAGCCACCAGCCAAGGAATTTGGGAGGCCTCTAGAAGCTGAGAATGACCTTTGGCAGACAAGTTAGGGGAAACCCTGGTCCCCACAGCCACATGGAACCAAATTCCACCATGAAGAATTCCTTCTCAGAGACTTCAGGAAGGAAAACAGTGCTGCTGACACCTTACTTTCAGCTTTATAAGACTAACTAGAAGACCCAGCTGAGCCACATTGTGCCCAGATTCTTAACCTACAGAAACCATGTAGATAGTAAGTTTGTGTTGTTTTAAACTGCTAAGTTTATGGTAAAATTTGTTACGGCAGCAATGGAATGAACTCAGAGCTTCTAATACAAAAAAGACCAAATGAAAAGAAAACAACTTGTGAAACAAGAGATAATGCAGACAACAGAAGAACAAAACAAACCCTTAAACACAATTGTTAGTAAGACAATGACATCTTTGACAGATGAACAGTATGTTATAAAGAACAGCAAGAGATTAAGA